GATGAGGCGATGAGGTGATGACAAGCAAACAAAATGACGTCACAATACAATTTGTCAGCTCCCGGGCCCCCCTCACGTCTCCCCATGTCGAGCTCCTCGTTTTGTGTGAGTTTTTCAGCCCCCCTCCTCACCTCAGGACTGCCTACGTCACTCGAATTGTAAGGGCCTACGCACATTCGGATTTTTCATACAAGAATTATTCGATCTGATACAGGCAGCGCGAATTATGCTGTTAATATTTCTCTGATGTCATGGGCGGGACTGTATGGGGAAAAGCCGAAAGGGCCTGCCCCCAAGAATTATGCTTGGCCTCTTTTAGAAAATGTGATGGATTTTGCGACTTGACTGCGTGACATGAAAACTGCTCGAAATTGCTCCTCAGACATATAAAACTAGCGAAATGCTCGTGACTGCAGTCACGGGTCTAGAGGCCGCTAAAATATCTATAACCCCGAAAAAATGGTGGTAGGGGAGCAAGACATGCCATAAAAAAATGATAAAATCGATAGAAAAATGAGTTGAGGGAAGAGGGTGATGGAGCTAGAAAAATGAGTTGGGGGGGAGGTAGAATAAACGCTGGCAAAAAAATTAAAACTAACCTAGCAATGATTTATTAACAGAACAAAAAAAATTGAAAAAATGAAAAAAAGAAATTGAAATAAAACATCAGGTGATAGCAAACAAAGGTTACCAAGGAAACCAAGGAATGGAACTTTCATAAAAACAGATTAGTGGAAAACAGCGTATGTAGGGCACTTACGTTAATTACCGTTTATAAGTAGTGGGTAAATGCGATTTAACCGAAAATCTATACAGTTCTTCATCAGACCAAAATGGACAAAATTAGAAAATTTGAATCAGCTAACGTAAATCTAACGGTAGTTATCGTGAACGAAAGAATTGACGATATAGGTCGGGTAACTATTATAGGTGTGATGGGATGGGATGGGATAGGTGGGATGGGATTTCAAAATGTTCCTGGAGAGCCCCCAAGCCCTTCTTGGAGATGTGGACAATTATGCTACTAGGAAGGAGTCTCGGGGTGCTTCTGTCCCGCCCCCTTAACTGGAGAATTTTCTCATTAAAAACGTCATTTTTTGTGAGTTTCGGTAAAGTTTTACCTTAGAATTCTTTCGGGGACATTTTGGGGGAAAAAAACTGGCCACGCTCTTAGATGCGAGAGAGCCCATAGACCCCTTTTCATGAGAATCAATTTTCTGCCCAACCCTCCCTCCTTCACCTCGATTAGGTGCCTTCTGGTTCTCCCTCCCCCCCTCCGCAAAAAATTAATAGAATATTTCAGTAAGAAGATAGGCTTCTGGTTCTCCTTAGCCCAAGCAGAGGCTCCCTGACCCTCATGCACCCAAAACTGACACTCTTTCACGAAAACTTTTTGTTATTTTTGTCTTTGGATAGAAGGGAGGGGGAGGGGGTTCCAAGAATTCAGACCCCTTACGCCTCAGGCCACAAAGTGGAACTTCCACTATTTCCAATTACATTCTATTGAAAGTGGTTGAGTACTTCCAGGTTTGATTCGACAAAAGGTAAATCTCACACGAAGTTGCACAATAGAATGCACCCGCGGAGCTTAATTTCAGCAAAGTTCCAAGTTCATAGGGCTGAAAGAGAGCCGGCGAAACTTTCTCGTGGTGCCAATTTTCTGCGAACGGAAACGCGTAGCGGGCCGGTTCAACGAACAGAGGCGCTGACCAGAGGATGGCCTACATTTCTGGCGAGCGTCGAGTGGTCGCGCGGGCAATGCCTTACCGAAGATTCCAATCCCCTCAGTGCCGGGTCGAGTTTCCGGTGAATCGATTGATCGGCCATTTACACCCATGGAAAAGGATCGATTTTGAGGGTACACCCTATTAATCGATTCTTTACCATAGCTTCAAACGGAATAATATCGATAGCCGATGGTTAGCGCCCCGCCACTGAATCCCTTTGATCCCGAAATCTCGGGAGGGAGGGGGTACCGACAGCTATTTTGCTCAGTCATTCACCTGGACATCGCACAAAAATCAATCAGAGCTGGGCTTCTTTGTTCGTTTGAACATTGCCACAATTACAGTGATTCTTGCTTTGTCAGGAATATCGGGGTGAAATAATTTTGAGCTACCGTGGATGGTACTAGGAATTTTCTGTGAAGGGGGCACAATGGGCACATTAGGGAGCCGCATCAAAGGAGATCTGGAGACATAGAGAGGCATCTCTTGGGGGGGGGGGGGTCTGGGAACCGTCCCTAGCTTCAAGGAGGGTCTGGGAAGAGCCACCGTGGAAAATTTTGAGGAAAGATGATACATCTCAGAAGCAATTTTGATCGATTCTCACAGAAAAATTGAATGAAAATAAAAACGACATCAAAGATGGTTGAACTTTTTTTTTTTTTTTTTTCCTAAAATTCCCATGCATTTTGTAAAGGGGTTCAAGTAACATTCAGGAGAAAGGGGAGAGGCAGCAGCGAATTGAATTCAAATATGTGTCCACCTCATTTAGCTTATTGTTATTCTTTCAAAATCATGGAAGAGTGGAAGGAAAAGGTAATAAGGATGCACAGTTTTCTTTTCAAAAACGAAAATGTACATGCCCGTAAAAATGACGTGTTGTTTGTGGCTTATTCGATTCGTACGTCACAAGCCTGTACGGGAAGATTGTGTGCATGAGCCTCAGCTCTATCAATGTGTTAATGAGAGGGGGTTTCACTGCTGCGTCATAACTCGAGAACTTTTTCCCCGGGGGGCCGTCCGTAAATGACGTCAGGTACTTGGTGGTAGGGGGGTTCTGGAGGGACTAAAAAAAAGTTACGGGCTGTAAAGAGATACCGTCCGTTTCGGGCTCAGAGGCCGAAACTTCCGAGTGCAAGAGTCGTAGCTTTGATTGCTCCGGGTGCTGCGCCCGGAACTTTCGGCCTCTGAGCCTGGAACGCGGACGGTATGTCTATATAGCCCGTAAGTACGGCTTCCACGGCCGGAGTTTTCTTTTTCAGTGTGCATGCAAGGGACAGGGTTGCCACAAAATTTAGAAAATCAAATTCCCTGACATTTCCCTGATTTCCCTGACAATTGGACGTATTTCTATGAAACAGACCTATGTGGAGGTGAGAAATATGGGGTGTGCTCGTGAGTTTTCTGGCCGTAAGAGTGAATGAGAATAATAAAGCGCCAGTGACGTCAACGGAGATGGATGCGGCGCCTCGGTCGTGGCTCTCGTACCTCCTCGGCTTTAACTCATGAGCCCTGTTCACAACGCTCTCGTCCCATGCCCGGGGCTCATATATCCCGCATTCAGTTGGCACATAGGTCTCTTTGATAGAATGTGATATCCCGCTTTTCCAATTCTTCAAAAGGAACCACGCTCACTTTTACATTGTTTCTAATGCAGCTTTCTAGAGCACACCGCATATTTCTCACCTCCACATAGGTCTGTTTGATAGAAATACGTCCAATTGAAGATGTGACGGATGGTTAAGAAGGCATAGTTAAAAATGGTTTTCAGACAAAATTTGTCGTTCGAAACCTCAAGCCCATTCTAGAAAGCAAATGAAGGTGACTTAATAAATATTCTCTGACATTTTCGTCATTTTCGTCATGTTCCCTGACATTTCCGGGTTTTCTCTGACTTTTTAAAATTTCCCGACATTTCCCGGTTTTCCCTGACTGTGGCAACCCCGAGGGGGTCAAAAAATCGAAAAGAGAAGCATAAAGAAATTTTATGGAAGGCCCCACAATGTTTTGCTACAACTGGTGAAAATGTCTCTTTGCGGGACAATCCGGCCCCGCGGCCCGGCATGTGACATTCAGCGGTTGGAGTCCGGACAAGCGGTTTCGCACGTCGAGCGATCGGAAATAAAAATATCACTCGACAAGTGAGGGGAGCGCGAATGGGCCCGCGGTGCGAGGTCCCCCCGGTCTTCCGGTCCCCTACGCGCGGCTTTTGCGTGGAAAACTCCGGGGAAATGCCACGCACGCCACGCCACGCCGCGCCGCCGCGGCCGCCCGAGATCCAAGTGGAGCCGGGAGCCAGGCCGTTGCCGCTCCAATGAGGGCTGCCAACTTAAAATTGCAGCCTCATTATCCCGCATGAGTCATACTCGAGTTACCGAGAGAGCCACGCTCGCATCATCTCGCTTTCATATAGTTCCTCTCTATAGTTATATATAGTCTATAGTCGTTCTGATATAGTTCTTCTTGAGCACTATCCTAGATTTACAATGTGGTCCACACTCAAAAGATGAACTGAGTTTATCAGAAAGGAACCAACTGGATTTTTGAAAAAATTGAGTTAAGAATGTTTTTGAGTTCCAATAGTCGTTAATTTTCTCCTGCAAAAATCTGAAAGTCGAAAAGAAGTAATTTGTTTGTGAAAAAAGAGTAAAGTTTATTTTCTGCAATGAACTTCTTCAAACGTCTTAATCTCAGTTTGAACTTGAAAAAGATATTTCTACCGTAAGGGTGCGTTCATGAGCATACGTTACCAAGGTGGGTGGGGGGGGGTGGTTAGTGCCAATGTTACGTAAATATCTATTGGCAAAAAACTTACAAAATCAATAAGGCCAATTAATACATTGGACGTATTTATGCCAAATGGAACCATGTGCAAGTGGGACGATGGGGTGTGCTCGTTAGTGGTCGGGCCATAAGAATGAATGGGAAATATAAAGCGACAGTGACGTCAGCGGCAACGAAGCCGTCCCCGTTTTCGCTCTTGCTCGGCTGTAACACCTGAGCCCTGCTTACCACGCTCTTGCCACATGCTCACGGCTCACGAGTTAGCGCTTCATTCCTTTTGATTTAATGTCAAATTCCGCTTTTCCATTTTCTCAAGAGGAACCATATCCACTGACCACATTGTTTCTTGTCCAGCTTCCACGAGCACACCCCATATTTCCACTTGCGCATAGTTCCTTTTAGGCTAAAAGTTTTAGTATAAATACGTCCAAATGCAAGATTGTCCTCATTATGTATGATGTACATTTAAGAGCAAAAATCCTTTCCACTCACCGACTCTATTTTCCGTATCCGCCGGTTTCATTTGGATCGGATGGTGCATCTGAAACAGAGGAAACATGCGTTCAGATTAAGAAACATTAAAAGACAATCGCAGTGATTACACGCCTTGCAATCTAGAGTCCCTTTATACCCAGAGTAACGACAACTCGATTATCAGCTGACTGGCAGCCGACCTTGGCTGGCCATGGAGGCCGAAACTAGTGCACTCAAACGAACGATATTGGGGGATAAGGATCAGGAATCCTGCGATGTCTGTCACACAGAAACAACAACATCAACAAATTGATCAATTAAAAAGAAAATGAGATTGGTTTGTGAATAATTTCTTAATCTATTTTCATTTTGGATCGATGGCAATAACAATTTACTCTTGATAAACCACAATTAGGTAATATTTTCATTATTCTTGTTCACATACGAGGTACCGCCATCTTGGTGCACTAGTTTCGGCCTCCATGAGCGAGAACCAATCAGAATTGGATTTTTTTTTAGGCCACTTTCAGCCCAATCCTGGCCCAACCAAAAGTGAGTTGTCGTAACTCTGGGTATAAAGGGACTCTATTGCAATCATGTGTGTGAAATTAGGAGTGTTCAAGAACATGAGCTTTGATAGGCCCGGTCAGTAATTTTCAATTCTTGTATCTTTGAAAAGTTTCTTCTACCCTGCTTTCATTCGAGTTTTAGGTCGAGTAACCAAAAGCAAATATGTATGCATGTGTCAATGACCGATCAAAGGAAGGTGGAAGAAACCAAGGGTGTCACTACCGCGATGAATGATGTCATAAACCGAATTTTTCAAAGCGCGATACCTCGGTCAATACTGAACGTAGAGAGTTGCTGTCGAGACAGATATTTTTTTTAGCTAATCCACACAAATCAAAATACGATTCCGTGACCAGCGAGACTGGATTTATTTAAAATTGTCGGAATGCTTCATAAATAATTATCTTGACTGGTTTTTCAAACGTTTGAGTTTGGAAATGAAGTACGAACCGAGGACCTACAAAGCATGAGCAAGGTGAAAAGTGTTGCTGCTTAGAGAGATCGTTTGTTTGATCAACTGGGGATCGTTTACGGGCAGTTAAGCAAACACAGCTCGACCGAATTCAAACGGTTAGATTTAAAAGAGCACAAGCGCAAAAACTCCCGAACCTTGGAAGTTGTAATTGATGCAAGAAACAAAACTCAAATATTTTCGACGCTAGGGTTTTTTTTTAAAAAGAAATGTTTCAGTTGGAACTGAGGTGTCTTGTCAGTTGACTGTAGCTTATGCAGTTTAATGTAGCCACTAAAATCCTACAGTTACAATTTATTATGGCAACGTTTTTTCAACGCATACATCTATTGAGGAAAAATGCAGTCCAAATGAATTAAATGTTTAGCTAGAAATGTTTAAATGCTTCGAGACTTACCTAAATACATGAAATTTATATAGGCCCACTGATAACAGAGTTTAAATTTTTAACAATAGATTCGCTCAAGTGGGAGACTTGGACCACATTTTGCAATAAGAAACCACTATTTCTGGCTCATTTTAGGAACAGCATATATGCCATTGGTTTCCCTATGCAAAAAGATGATTTTATGGAAAAGCCAGAGATTGTGCTTCCCTATTTCAAAATGCAATCCTATTGTTAGTCTGCTTTATAAAGATACTGGGTTCTCTAATAATTCAACCATCAAGATGTTACCTGACCAAAGACTCACTACTACAGGACAAAAAATATCATATTTCGGACTCCTCATCGGTGAGTTGGGGGTTCAAAAAAACGTGAGAGGAAAAGGAAGAAGTTGCGATATTATTTTATTTCGGTGCTGAATTTCTACTCGTTTATGACAGTCATTAAAGCCCTTAGCTAGGACACAACCCACGTACATAAGATCGCGATACGTTACGATTTGATCGAAGAAAGTATCACGATTTTATGATCGTCGATTTATTGCAATATCATGGGATAAATTGCAATAACTTGCGATTTCGTCGTACACATTTGCAGTAAATTCGCGATTTCATGAAAAGCGATTCATCGCAATATTATCGGACAAAAAATTGTGATAAGTTGAGATATAATTTTGAATTTATAGAAATAAAACTGCCAAGATCGGGGGTAATTGCTTCGATGTTGATGATCCTCCCGATTTGATCGCTAAAAAATCGCGAAAAATTGCAATTAAATTTCAAAATATAGCGATTTTTCCGTTGAAAACTGCTACTCGGGAATCAGGAAATGAAAAGAGCAAAAAGTGTTGGAGATATGAAATTTAATGTTTTGAAAATGGAAAAATGTGTATTTCCAATGTTTATTAAAGAAATGAAGATTTAACTGATGTGCATGTAAGATACAATTTTTCATGTGAAGTTGCGATGACTGGGAGGAGAAAAGGAGGATATTTTATGTGAGCATGAGCGTAAATCCAAATTTACGTTTACATATTAAATAAATTGAAAAAATGAAACACATTTTACATGTTTCCTCACTTTGAGTGCCTACATTTATTACATAAATTCATTTTCTTTTTCACCAGGTTATTCCTAATTTCCTGCATCCTTTCAGGAGCATTGGTTACAAATTAAAATGGATTCGGAATTGAATGTCTGTGGCTTCAGCAGAAATAACAAAAGGTGAATGAATATCTTGGGCTCTAAGTTCGTGCAGATTCGTGCTTGCTTTCTTGTTGAAACAAAAAGCGCCTTCAATGGGCCTGTTGCAAACTTTTGCTGGAGCAAAAATAAGAGTTGTTTCTTATAGATAATGCCTCAAAAATCACGATGAGCGCATTGGCAAAGTCTGAAATGCACTCATAACTTCACAATCTGCGTAGGAAATTTGCGGTTTTTTGAGCTTCCCGCTTCAAAAACGATACTACGGCACAGGTGAACATTTTGTTAGATGAGTCCCTCCATCGTCGGCAATACTCATCATGGCCGACGACAATCCGCCAAAATACCTGTGATGGGACGAGATAACACCTGAACAGGATTAGACCAGATAACAATCGGCGTGTTTACGTTCATATTTTCCTCACCCGCCTTGATTGACCTTGAACTCTCCTCGAATTACGCGAGGAACTGCGCAAGCGTCGGCCATGATGAATATTGCCGACGATGGAGCGACTCTTCTAACAAAATGATCACCTGTGCCGTAGTATCGTTTTTGAAGCGGGAAGCTCAAAAAAACGCAAATTTCTTACGCAGATTGTGAAGTTATGATTGCATTTCAGACTTTGCCGATGCGCTCATCGTGATTTTTGAGGCATTATCTATAGAAAACAACTCTTATTTTTGCTCTAGCAAAAGTTTGCAACAGGCCCATTCCGTGAGATGCCTCTAAAGAGACACTACGTATTCGTTGGGGAAAACTCTGAATTAAATAAACGTAATAAGGTGCAAGTACACTCTGTTCTAGACGTAACTGATGAACTTGATGATCATGAGAGGAATTAGTTCAACACATTTAGGAATAACACGATAAATCCTGACTTCATAAACCAATCTCCACATTTCAGAGAGAAAAAAAGAACTTACGATGTAGAATTGGAAAAAATTATGTGACTAATTGCATTGAAGTAAACTCTTTTTTCTGCAAACTCAGTCTCCGTCTCGTTTTTTTAATTTTATCTAAAACTAAGAGAGAAGGTATTTTCATGAACAGGAAAAATGGCACAACCCATCACGAACAGCACAACGTTTCTGCACTGAAATTCTTCAAAAGGCAAACATTTCTCTAGACATATATTGAGTCATTTGTTTTAGTCTTTTTGCGAGGTCTATCAATGTCTTTGCAAAATAGAGTTTAAGAAGTGGAGTTTACAGAGTTTATATTAATATGGTCATTGAAATGGGCCAGATGCATCCAAGTGAATAGATTGAGATCGCACAAAACTCACATCGAGCACATAAAAAAAAAATCACCCCCCCCCCTCCCCCAAAGTAACGGGAGTCCGGGTCTGAGCCCGAAAATTTTCAAAAATATACCCCCTCACAGATCGAATTTTAAGCAGTTTTAGCATACAACCTTTGGTTTAGTAAACTTGGTTGAATAGTTCTGAAAATCTGTTTTGTCACCATTGAAGCAATTTTTTTCTCTCCCTCCTTTTACCCTTCTCATAACCCCATTATTTTGGCCCGTGGGGGGGGGGTTCCACCATGGTCCCCCTAGATCCGCCATTGGGCTGTTCACGGGCTTCTATTTTCAGGATACAGCCTCTCATGGACAGGGCACTCCTTGCATGCGGGGAGGTACCACGGAGTGTACCAGGCTCCGAAAGTAGTCCCGTAAACGAAGTAGTCCACGTAGTGCAGGCTGTGGCAACGAGAGGAAGAGTAGTAGAGTTCCTTCTGTGACGTTGCCCACTCTATTGCTTTGTCAACACCGACTTTCCCAATACGTTTTACAGTTACCTTGGTGATCTTTTTGCCCCACCAAGTTCGAGTAGTCTTTGTCTTGGCTTTTTCGTCCTTTGGCTTGTATGACTGCAATTAAGAGGTGATTCAATACAACTTTATAGTAATTCAATTCTGTTGAAAGTTCGGGGGCGAAAAATCACAAATTCGAGAAAAACGATTTAGGTACAGTTTTCCAACGCTGTTGCCAGCCTTAGAAGAGTTTCAATTCAAAAGTTCACGACATTATTAATAGGGCAAATTGGACCGTGTTTAGCAGAATGGAACCAAGCCACATCATCTATTGCCAAATTTAACTGGGCAATGAAATTTTTTACTAGAGAACGTTTGTACGGATTTTTTTTTAAAATTTTAAGGAATTTGCTTCGTACAATGCAAAAAATTCACTGAAATTTGCGCACAACCGCACGACCGTTTTCATGATGAAACTTTTAAAGTCCCTAATAAGAGGCAATAGCTGAAATGGCTTGGTTCCTTTCTGCTTAACGTGGTTCAATTGTAGCTTAAAAGTCTGACTCGATGTTTTAGGGAAATAGAGACTAGCTGCTTGAAGTAAATTTGTGTGAATTGAATGAGAAGAGCACCAAATCGTATTTTGGACAAAAAATGGGCTCGAAGAAGTTTTCTAAATTTACGCGGGAATTTACGCCGTCAAAAATTTAAAGTCGAGTAAAAATATTTTGAACGAGAAAATAGTCACTGAACTTTTCCCCTGACATATGTCTTACGGAGGAATGAAACTACAAAACTTTTGTTCTCGATTTGAACTCAATGCGACTTCGTGCATTTTAGTTGCCCATTTTTTTGCAATTCAATCACACTATTATGGCTATACGTTGCTCCTCGCTTTATTTAAAGAACTGCTGAAGAAATCTTTACCCTGAAGTTTTTGTCGCTCCAATGACCGTTGTATGTATCCAGACTCTCTAATATGATTTTTGCTTTGCCCCCAAAGTGCTTATTTCGCCAGGCATAGACAATTAGGCCACCGTCTATTTGGAGCGCGTAGTACCCTCGCACCTGATCATGGACAATGTAGCCAGGATTTTCTAATACGCCTAACGCTGAAGAATCGGTTACAAATAGTGCCATGTGTAGCGTCAGCACGAGTAGCATCAATACCACTTAAAAGTAAAAGAAAAGAGTCATAGATTATACCGTGATCATAGCTTATCAGATTAGATTCAGTTTAAAAGTACTTAACAGTGCGTTGCGCGATGGCGGTTCGAGACTTGGTGTCTCTGATTACTCCCAAATATTACCAAAAATTACCACAGCAAACATACAGGGAGCAAGCATGGCAAACACACCACATAAAACAAAATCAAGGTGATTCTATGTGATATAGGTTGTCTCTGGATACAGGGACAAGATTCGCCAATCTCCATCCAAGATCTCTTTGATTAAAGATACATTGCAAAAAGTTCTATCACTCAATTTTATAACCCTGAGCACAATTATTAGAGCTCTATACTGCCGTGCTAAGGAAGAACGCCGTATGAGCCTTCAAACGTTGCCAAGTTTCCTCCGATAAAAACCGAATTTACTGGGAAAATTGCGAATATTATTTCCCAAAATTTACAGAGGATTTTGTACACAATTTAATCTAAAATATCTGAAAATTTCAAGGAAAAATATGCAAGAATGTGGTCAAAAATACAGGATTTATCAACAGAAATTTGGCAACTCTCGAATGTATATGGCGTTCTTCCTTAGCACGGCAGTATATGAATTCATCGCGATTTGGTTGAGAAAAAGTATGGATTTAATGCGATTTTAAAATGACTTGAGGAATATGCACTCACTCTTTACGAATAGTAGTGACACAGACACATGCTAAACTCGACGAGGATGTTCTTACAATTTAGCCCGACTGTAACTTGTTGCGTGCCTATTTAACTTCGGGGCTCTGTAAGAGGCATATCATAGAAATTCTGCATGCACGTAAAAATAAAAAAATAAAATAAAAAAAAGCAGAGAAAATCCACAAAATCGCGTTAAAAAACTGGGGGACTGCGTCATCGAACGACCGTTTACGTTTCCTGATGGGTGAAAAACTGGCTGTTTGGCGCAATTTTTTTTTTTTTTTTTTTTTTTTTTTTTTTTTTTTTTTTTTGGGCGTTTTTGAGCGAAAGCAATTAGATGTTTATTCATATTGCTCAACGCTAACAACGAATGAAAGTATTTTCAACGATACCGATCGCGAGATGCTCACTTTGAAAGTCACGTAACGGACGAAGCTGTGAAATTGGAACGGGATTGAACCTGAGAAATTACGCAAAAATGGTATATATTTTGATAAAAAGTGAGGTTCACGGAGTACCATAGAAAGGAACGACGGTTTTTCATTCAGTAAGAAAATATTGGACCACGAAAAGCAGGGTAATTGAGGAAGCAAATTAGGAAAGAAACTTAATCTCCGTAGATGCCAAACATTTGATCAAAGCTACAAAAGGCATAATTGTAGGCTGCTCCAAGATTATGTTTTAAGCCAAAATTGTCATCTCTGGCGTTTTAAATTTAAAAAATCTAACTTCAACCTCAGTGTACAGAAAAGTCGCTCCTAAAACGCACTTGAGCGTTCTTTGACACCCAAACGATACATGTGCTCTATCTTCTTTTAATTTCAGTATTCCTGCTGAAAAATACATTAAAGTATCGGAAATTATGGAAATTGGCTGAAGTCGTGTACCTATAGCGTTTCGAGCAAAATTCACCGAGTGACGTTTTCGAAAGTGGGACCTAAGATTCGTACCTAAGAAATCGTATTATATACCTTGCACATATGAGAATGTTTGTGTGGGATCTCAATGTTTACTCGCAAATTGAAAATCAAAATTTGTAAAATTCCTAGATTAAAACCGATACTGAGTTCAGACATCGCAAGAAATTACCCTCTCGACAAGTCGAGCAACTATTACTACTCATATGTCGTGTCGCAGTATCACGTGAAATTGAAGGCGCATCATGATTTTTCCCATAGCAAGTAAACGGTCTGCTTTTATAGCCAGCAGTACCGCGACTCACTGTTCGCAATCTGGGCAATAAAACAATCCGTTTAAAAAAAAAAAAATAACAAAAACCTTAGCCACCCGACCTTCCCTGGGCAAATATTATTTACCTACAATGAGAATACTCTGTCGGACTATTCAGAAACAATAATGTGCAAGCCTTTGAGGTAAATTCAGCTAGAAAGAGAGACTTGCATGCAGAAACATGACTGGCTCAAAGGAAGTGGCGCAAAGTGAATCAATTGTAACAGCTACCGTGCACGTCTCTCTGAGTTCCAAGGGCTTGAATCATTCAGCAACACCTTTTTCACGTGTTGTCAAGTTTCATCATGTCACCTCCACTATGAAAATGAGGTCTTCAAAATGATGCAACTTTTCCGGCCTAAACAGTCCGCTGTCCATCAATTCACTGGTCGTCGAGCAGTTTCTCTTAATTTTAAAAAGGTGTTTTAAGTATACAACGTGGAAAATACACGTGTTTATGCATAAAGAAATAGGTTGTAGTTGAAAATTTAGAGTTTCAAAGTATACCTAAATGGACCAAGATGCCAAAATAAATAGGACTCGAGTAATCGGATCATTTCAAGAGGATGAATGCGGAAAGGCTGGCTAAGTAATGTATGATTGGACGATCTTAAAGGCAGAGGAAACCTAAATGACAGTGTGAAAGGTGGGTACAAGCTGCCTTTCATCTCCGGAATAAGACCATTACTTTCTTTAACTTGTGGTATTTTTCAGAATTGGACGAATTTATGCTAAAAGGAACTATGTTACAAGCAAACCCTATGCACATGGTTCCTTTTAGCATAAATACGTCCAATTATAGAAGCTCGGAATTATCGGAGTGCCCATAGCTATAAAATTTTTTTTCAAATGGCAGCTACACTTGTGATAATCATAAAAAGAACATAAAAAATGGTGTATTTTGGTCCAAATCGCGAGTCTCCGTTTATCACCGTTTTAAAATGGCGGTCAATCAAAATTCTGCAAATTTAGACTGTATCGGACCACCATTTTGGATTGGTTATAGTTATAGTGACCTCTGATATCCGCTAAAAATATTTCATTTTCTTTCCAATGGCCTATTTTACAGTGGAGGTTGTCAAAATAAAAATTCAATTTAAGAAGCTGATTCAAAGTTTGAAGTTTGTTTTACTTGATCTCCATTGCATGATCCGTCACTGGAAAAAGAATCAGAAAAGGAATGTTTTAAGATGTTACTGCCCATCCAAAATGGTAGCCCGATAAAGTTAAAATTTGTAGACCTTTAATTGGCGGCCATTTTGAAAAGATAATAGATAGGGACTGGTGATTTGGCCCGTAATTCTGCATCTTTCATGTCCTCTTAATGTTGAAGCAAAAGTGGATGGCTGCCGTGTAACACAAAGTTGGGGTCCGCGCCCCCTCCATAAGTGGTCCCCCATTATTTTCAGGAGTCCCAAATGTAGTTCCTTTTAAACTATGAAGACTCCCAAAATTTCGCGTTCCTGTCTCGAATTGTTCAAAAGTTACAGGTGTGAACTGTTGGATCACTCTGTATGATATACTCGAAATCTGGTATCAGCTATTTTTCAGCGGTGAACATTAAATTGGTTTCGTTTCCCAAATACGTGATAAGCACTATCAGAAATCTAGAAATGGTTACAACATTTCCTGGGGATCATAGATAATCAGAATCACATATTATCTAGTAACCACTAACTCTCTAAACGGAAGAAAATAAAATTGCTGATTCAACAATTTTGTGGTTAAAACAAGTGTCCGACATGTTTCAAAGTAGATTTTACAATGAAAAATGCTAATTTAACCACTCCTGTGCTGTTGACACAATTCCACTATTGTAAAATGTACATTTGAAAAATGTCGGACATATTTTTTAACAATTTAATTATTAAAATGATAATCCATTTTATCCCTTGTATTTTTTCCATATAATCCCTTAATTTGTAACTTTTCGGCGGAAGATTCCTCTTTCGGCAGCTGGTCACAATTAATTCGGCAATAGATTCGGCAACGGTGATTCAAGTGTGTAAAACTGCACATTCAGCAGTGAGCATTCGGTATTCGGCGGAACAAGTGCTCGGTGTCTTCAACAAATGTGCGAACTTCAGGGCTTTTCTTCTGCAGCAATCCTTAAATCTCCTGTTACAACCTCCCTCTCACTTCCCACAAAGCCCCTCTTCATCCCTTAAATTACCCGCCGCACCGGCCGTTTGAATAATCCCTCCGGCGTTCGCAAAAGCAGCCTCTGTTTAGTTAGCATCAGAATTCTTGATCTGTGATCCGTCAAAACTACATTCCTGAATTCGGCCAACCCGAAACGGAAGTCGAGTTGTTATGATAAGATCTCGTCACCTTCCGGCCAAAGTATCGAAAGCGTCTTGCGACGTTTAATAATTTCCGCCGCCATTTTTATTTTTTACAGAGAAGTTTTTCAACAAAGCGTCCGAAAATTTGACTGAATTTTCTTTGTGCTGCCGATAAAATTCAGTGAAATTTCCAGACAGATTCAACTAACAATTTCTCTGGAAAAAAATAAAGTGGTGGCGGACACTTTGAAACGTCGCATGGCGCTTGCGATTCTTTGGCCGGAGGGTGACAATATGCTGACGAAATAACGAGCGATTTATCGATTGCGATCCTTAGCCTATAAATTGTTCGATGAATTAGGTATATGTAAATAGGTATACACAAAACTGTAAAATTAGTAGTAAGAATCCTTACACTGGGTATTCTGTGAATTTTTCAAGTGAATAATACGTTACATTTAGTAGTTTATTTTTCAGGGGCTTTGAGAACTTAGTTGGGCCTTCTGCTCTTGGAAAATTCCTTGTTTCATGGGATAATGTGAAGAATAAATTGACAGAACCATTTCCTGCCGTTCCTTTCCTCTTACTATTTGCCTCATTATGAAAGTTGCGTCTCAAGGCCAATTTTATTTTTAAAGACTTTTTATCAAATCTTACCGAACAAGAACCGATAGGACTCCTAATCTTTAAATTCTTACTTGGGGAGGGGGAGAGGAGGTGGGCAAGATTCAAATCCAACAGTCCATGCTACTATGGAGAGCAACATGCAACTAGTAGTAAGCGCGGAGCGCATAGGTAAGTAGTTGCAAATAGTAACAATTCCAAAACGCCTTCAACTGTGTGTATCTGCAATTCGGACAACCTATGAGTGCGAATAGTTGTATTCAAGATTCACTTATAACGCTGAGGCAGGCGTTCCATTCCGCCGTCGTCGTCGCGTCGTCGCGTCGTCGCGTCGGGATTTCAACAGACGTACTCATCTTGTTTGCGCTTACACATCACTTACGTAGATTTTCAACCAAAGTTACTGAAATTTTTCACATCAGATCTCTGCCGACAACTCTAAAAAATATCACCGACTGCGGGAGTGGTGTGAATGAACCAAAATTCCTAAAAATTGCTAGAATATTGACGTTCCTTGAAAAATTGCGTACAAAAATTTTGTCACGTATAATTATGAACCTGCTTCAGGTCAAACCATCTTGAGCAACTATACTTCAATATTTATAAGAAGTAATGGTCTTCGTGCCATCGCACACAACCCTAAATCCACCGCTTTTCTTCGTTGCTATCTGAAGAAGTGATCAAGTATCAGGATTTTCTGTGCGTCATGTGGTAGGAGATCAAAGCGTAATCAACGGGTACAAATATCAATGCATTATTAAAAAGCAAAATCAAAAAAAGCATATGATACTATGATAGTGCGGTATGAGGAACTGGACTACTCACCCCTGCCATAGTTTTGATATTGTGAAGGGCATTTTGCGCCGCCAGCGCCGCTTTCCGCGTATAAAACGTCACAAAACAACACCCTGCAACAAAGAAAAACGAAATGATTGAGTAAAACAGAATATTTTGTTGAAACAAAGTTACGATTCAGTTTTAATTTTCTTATAATTGTTTGCTCTAATGGCCGATGACTGCATATTGAAAAGGGTAGGGGAGCATGAGAGGTAATGGTTGCAGGAGGCGGAAATAGTATAAGATATATTTAAAAATGATTCAATAAAAAAAAAAGAAAAAAAATATAACGATCTTCTGAATAAAATCAATCCATGAACACTTGAGGAGGTCCTGTACATAAGAAAAATGTTCAGTAAACAATGTTTAGCTTAGCTGGGTCCATTTTTGATATCTTAAAGAATTATACAAGTCCTAATTTAACAAAAAAAAAAAAAGGGTAAACTGTATGCAACAATGTGGAGAAATGGTGCTGGGTCCACACCATTTCGCGGGGAAAACAAAGCCAAGAAGTTCCAAAAATTAGAATTAAGGTCAAAATTAAATTTTTTTGAACTCTAATGCGTACCAGTACGAAACTGAGGGGGGGGGGATGTTCAGCTCAGGCAGTTTGCATTGGAATATTAAGTTGGAGTTACGCCGAGAGATCTAAACCGGTTTGGACCTTTGTAGACCTCATCAGCAGATCCCATTCGGCAGTGAACTCAACTTATAAAAAAAAAAGGACGCATGATATATATAACATGCCGCAAGATCCAAGACGGCATTAAAACGCCGTCATGGATATGACCCGATGCAACTGCCTGAGCTGAACACTATCCCCCCTCAATTTCGTCCTGGTACGCATTAGAGTTCAAAAAAATTTAATTTTGACTCTAATTTTAATTTTTGGAACTTCTTGGCTTTGTTTTTCGCGCGAAATGGTGTGGACCCAGCACCATTTCTCCACCTTGTCCTTATAATTTTAAGTAGACGTAGAAAGAAGATATAAATTAAGAGCTACATATGACAGTGCTCAATTAGACACATATTACAACACCGAAACCAGGAAAACACGTGCATGGATTGCAATGATACAAAATGCAAAACCGTGTTTCATTTTTTCAAGAGAACTTTAACCTATAATAAATAACCTATAAATAATATGCATATGAACATAATACAGACACGCAGACGCCTTTGCAATCTAATTGGACCCATCATCAGTGCAGCGCAGCCTCCTGAATTTTCTGCTACCAAGTTCGGAGTGGTCGCGAAAACCAGCCCGAGAGTTTCCACTTGGTTTCACTGCTTGGTAGCAGAAAATTCAAGAGGCTGCGCTGCACTGATGATGGGTCCAATTAGACCCAAAAACGCGTCTGCAGTTGCCTTCCTCAGTGGTCGTAACAAGTGTAGCACCAAACAGCGTATCTCTTTGAGGGCAAATTGTGCTTCGGTGAGTTTTTTCCCTCTGTACTGAGATTTCCAATTTTCTGAATTTTAACGCAGGTTGGTTACATTTCCAACTTACTGTCTACATGACTCGTGCGTCTACCGAAATCAGTTTATTTTTATAAATATAATAGCCTATAGCTATAAATGGACGTATTTATGCGAAATGGAACTAAGTGGAAAATGTTTGAGCGCCTTCAATTTCGTATGATACCCTGCAACACTTCTGTTGTGAAATAGTTGCTTGAGGCGCCGTGGCACAGCGCGGCGCGGCCTGCTGGCGCCTACAAACCTAACGGGATACTTCAAGCATTGCGCAATGCTTGAAGTATCCCCTTAGGTTTGTAGGCGCCAATGCGCGTCTCGCGCAGGCAGCACGCCGCTCCGCTGGGTTTGGCTCTAATATTTATACACACGAAGTCAGCTTTTTTCAACTCATGATTTTGAAATGTCTGCACACTCTGCATTGATTTTTCTCATTTAAAAAATATGTATTAAAGAACAACATGATGCGTATTTTGTAAATATTAAGTTGGTTCTATGTCTAATTTGATGATTTCCAAAACATTTCAATTTTTTCTTCTATATTTTGTGATTTTACTGTGCTGCAGCGTAGTCTGCGCGCAACCAAACACTCAGAATTAGACATATTTGACTCTAACAGATCGATGTATTAATGATTTGAAACCGAAGATTGCGTGCTTCTTGGTTTTTTCCCCCACTTTAATTCATTTTTGTATCTTTTTTTAAACACAAGAACGCTTCATTGAGATTATTTATATCAATATCATCGCTTGGAAAGTGATTTACAAAAATTTGCCACGTTTTAAAAATGTATATGTTTCGAAAATGAAGTAAAATTTTCATTTAAAAAAAGGTATATATAGGGTATATTTTTCATCGAAAATTCTAAGGATAGAAATGCAATCCAATATTCACCAATGACAATTTGAAAATATGAATCAAAAGAAAAAAGTAGCATTTCATTTGAAAAATAGTAACCTCGAGTTATACCTCCTTCTCTTTCAATTTTCTCATTTCGATATTGTCACTGGAATTTTACATACGAACTAAAATATGACGTTTTGAGGCTTGGACCAAGTCACAGTTGCCTATTTTACGCGCAGACGTAAACTACTGGATGAAACAGGTTCATCGGTTCTTTTGAAGAATAATGCCACTTACGGCTGTTTTGCCTGAAACTACGTCATTATTTAGGCACTGCCAGTTTTCTCATATGGACGGACTTCTATCAAACAGAACTATGTGCAAGTGGAAAGATGGGGTGTGCTTGTTATTGTTAGGGCCATAAGAGTGAATGGGACAGTGACATCAGCGGTGCGGACCGGGCGCGACAAGAGCGACGACGACTAGGTCATCATTCTTTAACTCATGTGCCCTGTGCACAAGCCCACAAGGCTCTTGTCCCATCGGACTCCCATGCCCACGGCTCATGAGTTAGCGCTCAGTTTCTTTTGATTCAATGTCAAATCTCGCTTTTCCATTTTCTCAAGAGGAACTTTATCCACTTTTACATTGTTTCTCATGCAGCTTCCACGAGCACACCCCATCTTTCCACTTTCACATAGTTCCTTTTAGCATAAACACGTCCAAATAAGGAAACGTTAAAATTCGATTGCCAGATTTGCCCCGATAAAGTTAGGTTGCACTACCCAATTCACCTACAAAAGTATATCTAACTATAACTTTTCCCTTTGAGAATCCAGTTCTGGCAAAAAGAAGTCCCCCGAAACACCGTCTCAGAGAGGGGCTACAATTTCCCGATGGCCATCCGACGAAACAAGCTCGATTTTGATTTCGAAACCCTCGCTCTCGGACTCAAGAACCGCAGGCTTCAATATTTCGGTTATATTAACCCGGAAACTCGACTGGGAGTGGGCGGGGGAGGGGGGGTGGGAAAGGACGGGGGAAAGGAGGCGGCCTCGATTTGCGGTGGACACTTGAAAGTCACTCCAGGAAGGTCTCCTTTAACGAGCGCCGTCAAGACCGCAAAAGCATGCGAAAGTGTCCGTTACTCCGACTGCCCCCGCCCCCGCTTCCAAGAAACCTTCGCTCATTAGGGGTTTGGCAACGGGCTCTCCACCCTTTTCACTCATCGAAAGCGCCGTTGACACATTCCCCAAGCGATCTCGTTGAAAGTCAGGCGAGTGGCGAGGGGACTGCTTCCCAGCTTTGGCAACGCTGTCTGGGATTCTTGGAAAATTGGTCGCTGGTGCGGTGGGTAAGGTTTCCCGAAAGGCAATTACGACCGCGCTGAGTCGAAACCGCGCATCCGCAGGGTGTCTTCGTTGAAATAACGGGGTTCGGGTCTGGATTAGTTTCGCGAAATGTGCCGCGCGACCCGGGGTGCCCTTTGTCCGAGTCGAATAACAGCTTTATTATGCGCCCGACAGAATCCGTCAATTCGATACATTCGACTTCGAGCACGGCATCCCGCGGAATCCAATCCGTCCGAAACTGCGCTTTTGAACTTTGCGAAACGAGTTTTGAAAGGGATAAGAGGGGGAAAGAAAAAAACAAAAACAAAAACTATGGAATCGTCTCGGGGGCGCACAGAATTTAATTATTCCCCGGAACAGTCTTGTGGTTTGTCGATGGTTGTGGTGAGCTTGCGTGCTCAGGAAAACGCCGTGTGAACATTGTCAAATTTTCTCCAAGAACATATTATTATTTCAGTTGATGAATATGAATTACAATCTCTCTAAAAAACTAACACGATCCCTTCTGTAGATATGGATGAAGTTGACGATAAGATAAGAATAGGGTCACAGCAGTGGTCGTTCCGGAAAAATAATGTCCAAAACCTGAGACGTTGCAGAGGAAATTATTTTTACTGGAGAATTTTCTTTTTCCAAAACGGAGACTTACATGAACCAGAGGCCTGGCCCTGGCCGTTTCCTCTTACCTCGTAAGCCTAGCTCAGACCCACCCCTACCCATAAGTAACAAACGTAATACTTGAATGGCCGATTTTTAAATTTGACGCACATACGCTGAAAAGAACAAAGGATGGGTGGGAAAGAAAGGGTGTGCTAGTTCGTTGAGGGCCGTAAGAATGAATGGGACTTATAAAGCGCCAGTGACGTCAGTAGCGACAACCGAGTGTGGGACTCGTTACCTCATGAGCTCTGTCAACCGCGCTCTTGTCACATGTCCACGGCTCATGATTTGACATACAGTTGGCGCTTAGTTACTTTTGATTTAATGTCAAATCCCACTTTTCAATTTTCTCAAAGGGAATTACGCCCACTTTAACATTGTTTCTTATGCAGTTCAAACTGTCACACCCCATCTTGCGCAAGCGTCTCTGTTCTTTTTACAGGGCGCCTACTGTCACTGGTACCCTGTTGTTGAAATTTCCTTGCCGATTTCCTACATTCTAAAGATTCATTATTTTGGCGATTCCTTAAAATTCCTTGCATTTTTCTCACCTTTTCTTTACTTTTCCCTTACCTAACACTCAATTTTAACTGATTTCAGATTGGGGAAATGGAATGATGGAATTACAAAGGAATAAACTGAAAAACTCGGGGAATCAAAGTGGGAGCTTGATAAATGGATTTTGTCAGGAAATTGCATACCCCGAGGCTATTTTTTAGATTTCATTACAAAAATCTCAA